ATCTTATCCCCGAAGCTACAGAAAAGCGACAGAGACCTGTCAGTTTAGAAGGCATTCTATATTTTCCACTTCCTACTTAGTCCACTTACCTACCCGTTATCCACAGAGCTGTTTCTGTTAAGGACTGCCCTGGCATTGTGCCACTGGCTTACACTAAGGAAGATGGCAAGAAGCAACATCATAAAAGTCTCAGGAGGAAAATTTCTCTCATATTTCAGTGATAGGAATACCTGTGCTTTTCATGTCACGTAAGCAAAACTTTTCTCACAGTTCTGTGGAAACAAATTGCCATGGAACAAAGTGTACATGTTCGTTGTACAGCCTGATAAGCATACCTGCCCTAGAGGGCATCAACATAACCAGGCAGTGAGTAAGCGTCTCCTGGAAGACCTCTCATGCCCCACTGGGCTCCCCTCCTTCCATCCCTCCCTGCATTTCTCATTCCCAAACAACCCGTGATCTACTTTCCATCCTTATCATTTTCTTCTTCCAGAGTTTCACATAAATGGAACCATAATTTATATACTCTTGTTGGTCTGATTTCTTTCATTCCACATAATTATTTTGAGAGTCACCATGTTATGGTGTATGCAACAGTTGACTTATTTTAATCTCTGGGAGATTTGGCACTGTATGGATACACCACAAATTGCCTATTTGTTTACCTGCCCAGAGAAGCATAAATATTTCCAGCCTGTGTGCAAACAAACAAAGCTTTTGTGCTTACTTGTGTATATTTTTTTAAAAATTTGTTTATTTTTATTGCAAAGTCAGATATATGGAGAGAAGAAAAGAGACAGAGAGGAAGATATTTCATCCAATGTTTCACTCCCCAAGTGACTGCAATGGCCAATGCTGTGCCAATCCTAAGCCAGGAGCCAGGAACTTCCTCCAGGTCTCCCACACAGGTGCAGGGTCCCAAAGCTTTGGGCCATCCTCGACTGCTTTCCCAGGCCACAAGCAGGGAGCTGGATGGGAAGCAGAGCTGCCGGGATTAGAACCGGCACCCATATGGGATCCTGGTGCTTTCAAGGTGAGGACTTTAGCTGCTAAGCCACTGCACTGGGCCATCGTCCACTCTTTTGTCCAGTCTTTTACATATCTAGACAAACTTTCTGGTCTTTCCTCAAATTTGTAGTTTTCCTCTATCAAATAGTATTCTGTTTTCTAGCTAATAAATGTACTCATCTTTTTAAAAACACTTATTTATTTTTATTTGAAAGGCAGATTTTATAGAGAAAGGAGAGACAGAGAGAGAGGTCTTCCATCTTCTGGTTTACGCCTTCATGGCTGCAGTGGTTGAAGCTGAGCATGAGCTTTATTTGTTCCCCCAGGTAGTTTCAAGGGTTCAAAAAAATTGGGCCACCCTCCACTGATTTCCCAGGCTAAGAACAGGGAGCTGGACAGGAATCAGTAGCCAACACACGAACCAGCACCCATATGGGCTGCTGGCACCACAGGTGGCAGATTTTAGTGTACAATGCCACAGTGCTGGTCCCATGATTTTATTCCTTATTTCACTGGAAAAAAAAGAGGCTTAAAGAAATTATGGGAGAATTTCTATAAGCTCTCATCAACCCATCTGCCCTCCTACTTACATCTGCGTTCATACACTAACTTTTGTTGCAATACTGCTAGCACTGTGCTATTTGTGTGTGTCTGAGGACAAGCCATTGGTCTGCTGCGCTCCATCCATTTCCACTTAGCCAAGGCATGACCCCAGCATGACATTTTTCTGCTTTCAATCTCTTTTGAATTGACTCCATAAGGCTTTACCATTGAAATTGTTTTTAACAAATATTATAAATGATCTCTGCTTTGCCACAGTCAGTACTCAGCTTTCAATTCCCATGTTAGCCAGGCCAACTGGATTCTGCTTATCCCACCTTTTATGTAGTCAGTGAAACCTACCGTATACTATTCTGTTGCTGTATTCTATCCATACCTCTGCTGTGTTACATGCAATGCAAAGTCTTGGGACCCTGTACCTGTGTAGGAGACCCCAGGAGGTTCCTGGCCCCTGGCTTAGGATCGGCACAGCACCGGCCATTGTGCTCACTTAGGGAGTGAATTATTGGATGGAAGATTTTCCTCTCTGTCTCTCCTCCTCTCTGTATATCTGACTTTGTAATAAAAATAAATAAATCTTTAAAGAGAGAGAGAGAATAGATATGGACGAGGGCAGCCTAATACAGTGCTTGCAGACCCTGCCTTGTGGGGTTTAGTAGTCATGAAGGTAAAATGAAGCCTCTCGGCATGGTGCTGGATCTTTCTCCAGTCTATCAGTTCAACAAATATACAAAACAACCAGGATTATAGTTGAGTTTAAGTAAGAGCAATTTAGCCAAGTGAGTGTAATAAAATGAAGCAGAGAGTGTGCACAGGACTGACTGTAATGGTTGTGCCAAGCTAGATAAGAAAGTGAAAGCACAGAGGAAATGAAGAACAGCAACACATCTCCAGACCTCTGACTGGAAGGAAATGACTAGAGATAGCGTGGATACAGTCTACAGGATACCAAATTCACCAAAGTATATGACAGGACTTGGTCGTGAGTCCCGAGCAAGAGCCTTTAAATAATGCCTGCAACATCAGAATCCCTATGGGAACCACTTCATGTCTCGGCTGTTTATGTCTCAGTTCTTGTCTCCATTTCTTATCCAGCTTCCTGCTAATGCACTTGGGAAAGCAAGAAGATGGCCCAAGCACACGGCCTCTACCTCCACTTCGGAGACTAAGAAGGAGTTTAGGGCTCCTGGCTTCTGCCTGTCTCACCTCTGGCTGTTGCAGCCATTTGGGAAGAGAATCAGCAGACGGAAGATCTCTCTCTTTTCTTGTCTGGGTCTTTCCCCTCTCTGTAGCTCGGCCTTTGAAATAAATTTTAAAATATATTTATTAAAGGATCTTCAAAGAATTAGAAGAAATAAAGGGGATGAAGAGAGAGAGATGATACAAAAAAGGGATGGTCAGCAAAAGCGAATGACGTCATTCGGAACTGCTTTCAAGAATGACAACAGGGGCCCGGCGCGGTGGCGCAAGTGGTTAAGTCCTCGCCTTGCACGCCCGGGATCCCATATGGGCGCCTGTTCTAATCCCGGCAGCCCCGCTTCCCTTCCAGCTCCCTGCCTGTGGCCCGGGAAAGCAGTCGAGGACGGCCCAAAGCTTTGGGACCCTGCACCCACGTGGGAGACCCGGAAGAGGCTCCTGGCTTCGGATCAGCATAGTATCGGCCTGTTGCGGCTCACTTGGGGAGTGAATCATCGGATGGAAGATCTTCCTCTCTGTCTCTCCTCTCTGTATATCCGCCTTTCCAATAAAAATAATAAAAATAAAAAAAAAAAAAGAATGACAACAGCAAATCTGCACCTCCGCCAAAACAAATATTTTCTTGCAAATTTGCAGGTAATCATCCTGAGACTCACTGAGGTCAAATGGCCAATTTAAAGTTGTTCAACCAAAGAATGAAATTCCAGTGGAAATGTAGATGAGAGGGTCTATCCTGTGGCCACCCTCCACACACCTCAGGGACACACACGACACTTCACACTCCACACTCCCCCTTGGGGGACTCCTCTCTGGACACATCCATACAAGGTTCTAATTATGGGAGTGGGACATGGATTCCCCAGAGCTCCAGTCTGTCCTCTAAATAGCAGAAGAAGACAATTCCCCAGTCTCCACTCCAGCAAGAGGACTCATCAACATAGCCCTTCCTTCTCTCCAAGTGCGAGGAAGGTATTGTTTTGCTGCCTCCAAGGCTCAAGTCCTTGCCTTGACTCTGAACATCACAAAACCTTCCGGCCACAGATGTCTCTGCTTAGGCCTAGATCCCAGTGTTTCCGAAACTTAAAACACCTCCTTGCGCAAGCATTCTACTGAGAGTAAGATGGTACCTACCACCTCACTTCTTCTGGGACCCCTGACTCTGATGTAATGCACCCATTTCACCAATTTCAGGAATCAGTAGAATCACGCAACTGAGTCTTCTAATAATCTCTCCCTTCTGCCATCTCAAACCTAGGAAATCCAGAGCAGGAGCAAGGAGCCAACTGATCACCTGGATATCTAAGGTCTAACTATTAATATCAGACATGAAGGTGAGTTTGTTCCTAGTGTTGTCAATGAAAAACTGGTTTTATAACTGAGGAGCACATTCTAGAATCTCAAGTAAGGTTTGCAAATATAGAAGATAAAATATTTACAAAGGATATACACTCTGGGTAAGTGAGAATATGATGGGGTGATTGTGCAGGTGCACACATGTGCCTGAGCTGTATGTTGGGGACTTGTTCATATGTTCAGTGTGTTTTATATGTGCAGTTTATCAGTGCATGCCTATTGCCTTGGTTTAGAGGGATGGTTTAGGGCTTGCCTAGCTGACCTGCTGTTCATTGTCACTGAAGAATCTGACATTTTATAACTGAGCTTCTCAAGCAATCACTGGATTATAAACATAAAGTTCACCTTTTTATTACTCATGTCCAATGTAATTTCAAATTATCTAGAAATTGACTTCCTTTCACTTTCTTTGCCCATGGTATCTTTCAAATAGATAAACTGTTTTCTAACTACAAGTCAGACTTTAGACATGTCTGGTGCAACACAGCCTTGTTTATAAAACGGGAGGGTGGGGCAAGGACCTTGAGCTTGATCAGATTAGAGTAAAACTCCCGTTAAGCATTTACAATGTGACCCAAGACAAATTACTGAATTCAAATTAAACTCCTGTCCTGCTTCATGAAATAAGATTGTTGTCTAATTTTGAGGTGAGTAAAGATCAGAGCTGATATATGAAAAGGAATATGAATGTTTACACCAGTTCTGACACCAAACAGAGGAGAAATTCTTTTAAATAGAAGTGTTTTCTGTTTTGGGAAAAGAGGGAAATAGGTAGCACTCACTGAGCACTTACTGTGTGCCAGGAAGTGCTGTGTATTTAGCCCTCTTCACCTACTTCTGTCTTCTTGTGAGAAAACTGGTGTACACACAGGCTCGGCAGTATGTCCAAACTGGCCGGCAAGCCCCAGAGCAGACACAAAACCAGGAGGTCTCTCTCCCCCACACTGATTCGGAATCACATGGTAAGATTTATTCTTCCCAATGAGAACCAACTTAGAGAAGCATATAGACAAAATATTTATTGCACAAAAGGGCTTTTCTCTCCCTAAGGACTAAAAACGTAGGGATTCTAATTTACAAATCCAAAATAATGAACAATATTTCAGATAAGGTATCCACATAATAGTACCAGTCAGAAAACATGCAGTAGAAACTTTTCTATGAAACTTACATATCACACCCATCAGCATGGCTTCTGAAGCATTAGGATATTTGTTCAACACCATTCAAGGATCAAAAAGACCATGAAGCATGGTGTCCCCTTCATTCCCTCTCATTTCCTTGAGAAATATTTGCTATTGAAGCCAGAGGAAACATAGATCATCTAGTCCCAAGCTTTTGACTTAAACACGAAAACCAAAATGAGGCAAAGGGACGTGAATTGATTTATCCATATCAATTGACAGCTGTGCTAGGTAGAACTATTTCTGATTTCTGGTTTACCAGAGAGTGTTTACTCCGTCACACAGCTAAGTCTTGAAGCGTGCATTTGCATGCACTTGCTGACCACAATCATTGCATTGGACCCTACATCGCCAAGCACATGCACATGAGAATCAGCCTCTGATCACATCAGAGCAGCAGTCAATCGGCAGCAGTACGATGAATGTGTTTAAAAGGGGCAGGTGCTGGTGAATGACAGTGCCAGCTCTGTTCCTGACTCCAGCTTCCTGCTAGAGCACACCTGGAAGAAAGCAGTAATGGTTCCAGTACTGGAGTCTCTGACATTTATGTGGAAGACCCAAACAGAGATCCAGGTGCCTGGCTTCAGCTGTTGCGGGTATTTGGGGAATGAGCCAACAGATGGAGTATCTCTCTGTGTCTCTGTCTCTCCAGCTCTGCCTTTCTGCCTTTCAAGTAAGAATTTTTTTTTTAAATTTCTGAATAAACTGAGGCACAATAACTACTTAAAGTTTTTGTCAAGATTTAGTTATTTTTATTTGAAGGTCAGAGTTACCAGCTCAGTTTAAAGTTTATTGGAGGAAACAGCAATTCACGTTGCAGGCAGCTACAAACTAGAAATGGTTTAGGAGTTCAATGTTTGGCCGGTTAGAAAGTAACCTTGCTTAGCTAGTTATGTAACTTTGTTCATTGGCTGCTTCTGACTGAGCTTAAGTCCTAGCTTCCTGTAGACAGGCATTTGCTGGGCATAGGTCAAGTTTTGCTTTTGTTTGCAAGGTTGAGATCACTCAGGAGACTTGATTGGCTTTGTCTGCCCCGGGACTTTTCTGAGCCAGTCACTAATTAAGCAGCTGGGCTGATCAAAGCAGAGTATCTGAAAGAAAGGAGGCTATAAGCGGATCTACCAAGACGGGTCAGCCAGCCTTTGGGGATCGCCCTGATGTTTAAGCACTATAGATTTTCAAAGAGGGGAAGAAGCTTAGAGTGAAGTTAGTCTTCAAAGATAGCTCAAGTGCTGTCCTGGAGAGAGCTATTGGAGCTTTTCTTTGGCTCCTAAGAAGTACAAACAGAACCAGGGAGCCGGGTGAAAGAACATGGATTGGGAAATCAGGCCAGAGTTCTCCTATAGAGTCACTGACAGCTCAAGTAACTTTTCCCTGTGCCTCGGGTCGATCCTACATAAAAATGAAAGTTTTGTCTCCCTCATAGGAGCTTATACATCTGAAGGTATCTTCCAAAAGCCCGTGGTAAATGCATAGGGCGAAAAAAAAAATGCACAGATTTCAAGCATTTTTGCACCAAGAGAAATCCCATTTATAAATTCCATTTCGCAGAAAGTTTTTGAAGTGTTCCAGTACCAAAGAACGCTAACAGGTGACTTATCAAATTAAGTCTTCAAATCTGTCAGTGAGACCACAGTGGATAAATTAACAATGCACTGTTTCTAGCCACGCCCCTCCATCGCCCCCCAGTGTCTTCTCACATTCTGCTGTTCTCAGTCACTTTGCAAACATTCTGGCAGTTTCCCTCCTTTAGGGCAATCATAGCACAGAACAGCACTTCCTCCTGCTGGGTTTCTCCGACTGGCCCTCGCTGCAGCAGATCCTCTTCGTCCTCATCCTCCTCTGCTATCTCCTGACTCTGGCGGGCAATTCGGCGTTGGTGCTGTTGGCCGTGCGCGACCCGCGCCTGCATACGCCCATGTACTACTTCCTCTGTCACCTGGCCCTAGTGGACGCAGGCTTCACGACAAGCGTGGTGCCGCCGCTGCTGGTCAACTTGCAAGGTCCACCGCTCTGGCTGCCGCGCGGCGGCTGCATGGCCCAGCTGTACGCCTCGCTGGCTCTGGGTTCAACAGAATGCGTCCTCCTGGCCGTGATGGCGCTGGACCGCGCGGCCGCCGTGTGCCACCCGTTACGATACCCCGCACTGGCTTCCCCGCGCCTCTGCAGTGCGCTGGCAGGCGCCTCGTGGCTGGGAGGCCTCACCAACTCTGCCGCGCAGACGGCTCTCCTGGCTGCCCGGCCGCTCTGTGCGCCCCACCGGCTGGATCACTTCATCTGCGAGCTGCCCGCGCTGCTCCAGCTGGCCTGCGGAGGCGCCCGAGAAAACGTGGAGCGCCAGATGTTTGCCGCGCGCGTGGTCATCCTGCTGGTGCCGTCCACCGTCATCCTGGCCTCGTATGGGGCGGTGGGCCGCGCTGTGTGGGCTATGCGCTCCGGAGGAGGACGGCGGAAGGCGGTGGGCACCTGTGGCTCCCACCTGACCGCCGTCTGCCTGTTTTATGGTTCCGCCATCTACACCTACCTGCAGCCCACGCACAGCTACAACCAGGGGCGGGGCAAGTTCGTTTCTCTCTTCTACACGGTGGTCACGCCCGCCCTTAATCCACTTATCTACACACTCAGGAATAAGGAGGTGAAGGGGGCCGCGAGGAGGCTCCTGGGGAGCCTGGGGAGAGGGCGCACCCGACAGTGAGAGAGTTGGGAGCCTGGAAGAATTGTACAGGGCACAAGGAAAGAAACGCCCATTGGCTGGTCTGTCCACTCAGCCCTCGTACTGTTTGATTATTTACTTAATAGGAATACAAAATTTGTCTTCAGGGAGTCCAAGATTGTTGGAGGAGATGACTTCCTCGCACCAGATTATGTTTGGATTCTTGAGGGACAATCCCATGTTTACTGGTTTAAGCAGAGAGAAACGGCCCTCCGACTTTTCTCTAAGCTCATCAGGAAAGGCAACATGACTTGAGGGACAGCTTCCTTATCCTCAGACTGGGCAACAGCAACCACCTTTCAGGAAGTCCATTCCTTTGGGAGGAACACCCACCCACAAGGGGCTCATTAGAGACATCAGATCTCTAGGTCCCTATGAAAGATACCTTTCCATGGCCACCACCATTCAGCGAAAGAACAGTTGGAGCTAAATGTGTGACACAGAGGGTAAGAGGGGACATGATCCCAGATTTCGTTTTATACCAACAGCTTATAAGAGGGGAAAAAGGCAAAAGACAGTTGTTTAATTGAATTTCTGAATAGTTTATTAATCAGATTAGTATCAGTAATTAATTCATTTCATAATGTGATTCTCTATATAGAAAAATTCAATTTGGGTGACATTATGGATGAAGCAATGGGTTTAATATAGAAACACAGAAATGAATAGAACATGAAACCCAACCTAAAATTTGCTATCTGGTTACAAAGGGAAAGAAATTGGCATTTTCCTATAAATCAGAATGGATCAAAATTTCAAGCTAACTTTTGAATACTATTTCTAGGTTGTGTTAAAAATGCATTTCCTATCCTCAGTAATACATTAGAAATGATCCAGACACTGTCAGCTATGTCAGACCGAAGAGTTCCAGGGTTGGAAATTACGCTTTATCCTACCCACTTAACCCCAAATCTTACTCTATTTCATTCTCTTTCATTTTGGGAAGTCTTCAGAATATATGGCTAAGGAAAAAAAAATCTGTTATTTCTGGTACCACTTCATCCCAAGTGGTCACCCTCCAATGCAAGAAGTTGTCATAAAGAATACAGAGCCCTTTTTAATTTGATAATCTGCCATGGTCTTCCCAGCTTCCAGCTTCTTTCCATTGCAAGTCACATTCTGGGACTCAGGAGTCACCCCAGTCAGGTTCTTGATCATTTCCTTCACCTGGACCACAGAGTTGGACCTTCGCACCTGCAGCTGGTACTTCTGCCCCTGATCTCGTGAATCCACCAGAGCCAAGGGAAGCTCTTCATCGTCACTGGGCTTCACCACTCTCAGGGTCAGGTGGATGGTGGTCTCCTTGTCGATGCCGTAAGATGACAGCCTCCTCTGGGGCTCTAGAGTCTTGGAGCCCAGAAGAAGAACTTGGTCCGGCACACAAACTTTGGTCTTAGCACGGACATGCTCGTTGATCTTCCTCACTCTGTCATATTTCTTGGCCTCAAAAGTCATTAATTCTTGGTTATAATTGACGCTCACCTGGGCAATGAAAGCCATAGAGAGAGAAAGAGTCAGTTGTCTGAAAGGCCTGTCACTCATGATTCTCCGATACATGGATTTCAAGCACGTCTGCACCAAAATACTTTTATCTTTTCATTTTTTTTTTCTGATGACCTTTCTGATTTACTGTTGTACCCCTGGCTTTCCCAGATCAATTGTTCTTACCCTTCCACAGTCTTTCTCGTATTTTGGCTTATCTCGAGCAATTCACATCCTTTCCTTTTTTGTAATTTTTCTTCCAAAATTCCAAAGTTGTAGCGCAAGCAAGAATATTAGTCTCATTACCTTGTTACCATAAATTTTGTCTAGCTCACGACATATTCATGATTTACCACTTTAATTACCTCTCCTGTCCAGATAATACTTGTCAAATTTCAAAAAGTAAATTCAACCACAAGGTTTCAAAAGTTTTATATAATATTCTAAAAACAACCTACCAAGAATTTTCAAGACTGTGCAACTCCATAGGATAGTTAAGATTTCTGGCCATACAACACCCTCCATGACTATCTTACAAGAAAATCCAGATAACAACATACCATTTCTGTACTGTTAGTTTCTTTTTTAATGCTCCGTTGTTCATAACAGCTTACATATTAGTGCCATGATGTTCAGTGTTATTGTTAATCCATAGTTCCTATACTTCTTTTTTATATCTACCTGTTGTAGAATATGATCCTTTCCCTAAATTACATCTGATTTAGGAAAAGACAGAAGATATAGCCTGTATCTCTATCTTACTTCATTAACTTTACTTCAATAATCCTGAAAGTGAATTTCATCTCTGTGCTAACTCTTTTTTTTAAGATTTATTTTATTTTTATTGGAAAGTCAGATGTACAGAGAGGAGGAGATACAGAGAGGAAGAGTTTCCATCGTTGATATACTCCCCAAGCAGCCGCAGTGGCTGGAGCTGAGCTGATCTGAAGCCAGCAGCCAGGAGCCTCTTCTGGGTCTCCCAAGTGGGTGCAGGGTCTCAAGGATGTGGGCTGTCCTCGACTGCCTTCCCAAGCCACAAGCAGAGACTGAATGGGAAGCAGGGCCACCGGGATTAGAACCAGCACCCAAATGGGATCCTGGGTATGTGCAAGGTAAGGATTTAGCCACTAGACCACCACACCAGGCCGTCTGTGTTAACCCTTAAAAGCTTAGGAGATTATCTTAGATCATAAATCATTTAAACAAACCTTGGAAGAACCAAGAATCTTAGCTTTAAAACCCTGGAAATACTTCCATAATTCTAAAGCTCAACAACATTGAGCAGTAAGTTCAGCCTGACTTCCTACCATTTACCCTGAACAGCAGTCAATTCACAAGAGAACTGAAGCTTGTCTTCAGAGAGCCCTCCTTCCCATTCTGCAGCGACTTAGGCCCATTTTGTCTTCTTCCCATCAGCTTCCCAGCCAACCAACTTTCAGAGCCCTTTTTTCTGCCAGAACACTATCTATTCCAGAGATATCTCCCCAACTGTAAGAAATACTTTCCCTTCCCCCTTATCCATTATTAAATTAGAACTTACTAAGATGCTGGAAGCATTGGGAGCCATCCTTTCGATCGCAAGGACAGACGAGATTGAGTGAAAGGACCTTGCATCCAGCTTATATACTGATGGCTGAGTTGGAAATCCCCTGCCTGCACAGCTGTGTTGTCCAGCTTGACTCTGCCCTTTGTTCTTATATGTCCTCATCCTCTTTCTTTCACTTTTGCCATCAGGCAGCTAATAAACATTGCTTTATGCTCAAGTACTTTGCCACTGCAGAGAAAAGGGCTGCCCTGCATTCACTGTGCAATAGAATGTAGTGACTCTGATACAATCACCAGGTAAGGGCAGAAGATGCTAGACCAAGTTGAGTGAGGTTGACAAACAGAAATACCTGCAGCATGTTAGGGATGGGGGAAGGGACTAGGCAAAGAGAAAGGAAAAGCTGTTTGAACGCAGACCTATATTTAAACTGCTTTCACTTTGCAAGCCCTGTTTGTATTACTTTCTCAGATCTTCATGTCATTTCTCAGAAGGCAAGAGGGTAGTTAAATGCTGCTTAAAAACAGACTCCCTTTTCCTCTCCTTTCCCTCTCTGTCCATCTCAGCCCAGGACCTTAAACTAGTTTAGAGCCAGTGACTACATTACGAGGGTATACAAGAAAAGCCTGGCCAGAGAAATGACAGTTCCCAGGAAATACTTTAATCTGCTCATGGCCCCTTAGTTCTATATCCACAGCCCTAAACTGAGTTGCATATGTAATAGGTTTAGCTTACTCACACAGCTTCCTGAAGCCCACATATATTCTTGACCATGCTAAGTTCTCAGTTGTCTCCATGCCAGTGAATGTACCTTTCCCTCCAGCTGTATCCCCAACACCATGAGCGTAAACAGTGTATGTCATTCAAGAAATTTCTCCTACCTCTCTACTTCCCTACCAGCGCCAATCTGATCAATCCTTTCTCTCAAAATCTCTCAAATAATGTTTTCTCATCAATAGGACCGTTGACCATTCAGTTTCAGTAAACAGAAGGATCTTGAGGGTCATGATTGTGTCCTGCTTAACAGCCAGAGAGCCTTGGTCCAGCATGCCTTCTGACACAGAAACACTTCAAATACATTAAGTGTAGAAATTAATTAGTAAAAGAATAAATAAGCAAGTAAATAACAACAAAAGGAAAATAACATTTAGTAAGTCCTGGCCACCTGCACTGGCATCCCATGTTGGCACATAGCTCACTGCTGATGTGCCCTGGAAAGCAATAGAAGACAGCCCAAGTGCTTGGGCCCCTACACCCACGTGGGAGACCCAGGGAGATCCAGAGGAAGCTCATAGCTCCTGATCTCTCTATCTCTCTCTCTCTCTAAAACATATCTATCGCTCGCTCTCTCTCTCTCTCTCGCTTTCAAACAAATATTTTAAAACATATTCAGTGAGTCCTTGAAACTGCACAAGAAATTATTAAATGATAACTCATTTGCATTTGGCATTCTAATTAACTAGTATTCTTTGGCATCTTAAGATCTCTGACACATTAAGTTGTGTAAGCAGAAGAAGAAAAGGTCCAAATTAAAGTGTCTGTTATTTTCTTATTATGCTGCTTCAATGGAAAAAAAAAAAAGGAGGCAGAAAAGCCTCTGCTGGAATAGGGGATTTCCAACACGGGCTTACAATGAGAACAAACCTGGGATGATGCCAAGAAAAATTAATTGGGAAGTTTTTCTATATAAGCGTACTGTGCTTCTGAGAAACGGTATCCTTTCAAGGAAACTGAACAAACTTGGACTCTGATCTCTTTCCCTTGTTTTCCCTTCCATTCCATTCCATTCCCTTCCCCCATGAAAGTCCTCCCCCGCCCAAGTCCAGACAATCTGTCCCAGATGCCTTGGTGCCAGTCTGCAAACCTCATCAGAATTTCTCCTTGGAACGTGATCTCCTTCATACCGCATTACTGCAGCCTCTTACTCAGTGCTTCTTACTTCATTCTTACTTCAGCT